CACACCCACATCAGCACACACACACACACACTCATACACTCTCTCACACACACACACACACACTAACACAACACAGCACACACACACTCACACATACACACACTAACACAACTCACACACACACACACACACACTAACACAGCACACACACTCACAATAACACAACACACACTCGTACACTCACACACACTAACACAACATGCACACACACACTCACACTAGCACACACACACACACACACACTCATACACTCACACACACACACTAACACAACACAGCACACACACACATACACTCACACACACTAACACAACACAGCACACACACACATACACTCACACACACTAACACAACACAGCACACACACACATACACTCACACACACTAACACAACACAGCACACACACACATACACTCACACACACTAACACAACACAGCACACACACACATACACTCACACACACTAACACAACACAGCACACACACACATACACTCACACACACTAACACAACACAGCACACACACACATACACTCACACACACTAACACAACACAGCACACACACACATACACTCACACACACTAACACAACACAGCACACACACACATACACTCACACACACTAACACAACACAGCACACACACACATACACTCACACACACTAACACAACACAGCACACACACACATACACTCACACACACTAACACAACACAGCACACACACACATACACTCACACACACTAACACAACACAGCACACACACACATACACTCACACACACTAACACAACACAGCACACACACACATACACTCACACACACTAACACAACACAGCACACACACACATACACTCACACACACTAACACAACACAGCACACACACACATACACTCACACACACTAACACAACACAGCACACACACACATACACTCACACACACTAACACAACACAGCACACACACACATACACTCACACACACTAACACAACACAGCACACACACACATACACTCACACACACTAACACAACACAGCACACACACACATACACTCACACACACTAACACAACACAGCACACACACACATACACTCACACACACTAACACAACACAGCACACACACACATACACTCACACACACTAACACAACACAGCACACACACACATACACTCACACACACTAACACAACACAGCACACACACACATACACTCACACACACTAACACAACACAGCACACACACACATACACTCACACACACTAACACAACACAGCACACACACACATACACTCACACACACTAACACAACACAGCACACACACACATACACTCACACACACTAACACAACACAGCACACACACACATACACTCACACACACTAACACAACACAGCACACACACACATACACTCACACACACTAACACAACACAGCACACACACACATACACTCACACACACTAACACAACACAGCACACACACACATACACTCACACACACTAACACAACACAGCACACACACACATACACTCACACACACTAACACAACACAGCACACACACACATACACTCACACACACTAACACAACACAGCACACACACACATACACTCACACACACTAACACAACACAGCACACACACACATACACTCACACACACTAACACAACACAGCACACACACACATACACTCACACACACTAACACAACACAGCACACACACACATACACTCACACACACTAACACAACACAGCACACACACACATACACTCACACACACTAACACAACACAGCACACACACACATACACTCACACACACTAACACAACACAGCACACACACACATACACTCACACACACTAACACAACACAGCACACACACACATACACTCACACACACTAACACAACACAGCACACACACACATACACTCACACACACTAACACAACACAGCACACACACACATACACTCACACACACTAACACAACACAGCACACACACACATACACTCACACACACTAACACAACACAGCACACACACACATACACTCACACACACTAACACAACACAGCACACACACACATACACTCACACACACTAACACAACACAGCACACACACACATACACTCACACACACTAACACAACACAGCACACACACACATACACTCACACACACTAACACAACACAGCACACACACACATACACTCACACACACTAACACAACACAGCACACACACACATACACTCACACACACTAACACAACACAGCACACACACACATACACTCACACACACTAACACAACACAGCACACACACACATACACTCACACACACTAACACAACACAGCACACACACACATACACTCACACACACTAACACAACACAGCACACACACACATACACTCACACACACTAACACAACACAGCACACACACACATACACTCACACACACTAACACAACACAGCACACACACACATACACTCACACACACTAACACAACACAGCACACACACACATACACTCACACACACTAACACAACACAGCACACACACACATACACTCACACACACTAACACAACACAGCACACACACACATACACTCACACACACTAACACAACACAGCACACACACACATACACTCACACACACTAACACAACACAGCACACACACACATACACTCACACACACTAACACAACACAGCACACACACACATACACTCACACACACTAACACAACACAGCACACACACACATACACTCACACACACTAACACAACACAGCACACACACACATACACTCACACACACTAACACAACACAGCACACACACACATACACTCACACACACTAACACAACACAGCACACACACACATACACTCACACACACTAACACAACACAGCACACACACACATACACTCACACACACTAACACAACACAGCACACACACACATACACTCACACACACTAACACAACACAGCACACACACACATACACTCACACACACTAACACAACACAGCACACACACACATACACTCACACACACTAACACAACACAGCACACACACACATACACTCACACACACTAACACAACTCACACACACACACACACACACACTAACACAGCACACACACACTAACACAGCACACACACTCACACTAACACAATACACACTCGTACACTCACACACACTAACACAACACAGCACACACACACACACTCACACACAAACACACCGGAATCAGTCAGGATCACAGAAGTCAGAAAGAGTGTTATTACCAAGTAAGTTTACACGCACAAGGAATTTGACTTGACGACAGGAGCCTCCATATATAGGAATAACACAGTAGAGATTAAATATAACACTAATATAAGAAAAATAGAATTAAATAATGCACCATGTACAGAAATAGAAGTATAGAAAAATATTTTTAATTGTTTAAATTAATGTACAGGCATGTTATTTACAAGTGTGCAGTTTACAAATGTACAAGTTTTGGATTCTATAAATATGTATTCTATAAATATGTCAGTTATGTTGGACAATGTATAGTAATGAAAGATTAATTGTTCAGGCTGAATATAGCCTGCGGGTAACACTGTTCTTGTGCCTGGCTGTTCTGGTGCTCAGTGCTCTGTAGCAACAGTTGGAAGAGAGAGTGGGCTGGGTGTGAGGGGTCCAAGGTGATTTTCTGAGCCCTTTTCCTCACTCTGGAGATGTAAAGATCTTGGAGGCTGGGCAGAGGGGCACCAGTAATCCTCTCAGCAGTCCTGACTGTCCGTTGTAGTCTCTTGAT